AAGACAATACTTGAGATTAACATATTAACGGTTCTTTTTGTTTATATTTTTCGCGTGAATTTTGACTGAGCAGCGGCATCTCAGCCTCCCCCATCTGTGTGTTAAATATAATACAATATTTAATTATAAAAAAGAGCATTCGGTCGATTGCCTTCATAATCAAACTAATGTACTAATCTGCTGAAATTTGGTACCGTAAAAACAAACGAAACGAAACTGGATCTGTGTTTTAATCATATTGCCACCTTAACAATAGCCGCGTGTTGTTAATATATACACCATGAACTATACTATGTACATATTATACATTATATACATAAATATTACATTATATGCATAATACTATATACACATACCGTATATATACACAATTCAATCACAGACAATGTATCACTGGAGACAAGAAAAATCATTAAATAATAATCATATCATAAATAATTTCATGCTATTCAAATTAGATTTAGATAAAACAATTATATATATACATATGGTTGTCTATTTCTTCGCCCGTCTCATGACAGAAAAAAACCCTTTCAAAATTTACACTCGCTGATCATCATTTGCTTTTTTAAGGACAATTTTTTTGCGCGTCTTATCCGTGCTAAAATATACTTAAATTTAATTTAGAAAACAAAACCAAAGTATGAAAGGGAGATAATCGTCCCATTGGGATCATCATTTGCTTGTTTAAGGACTTTGGGTTTATTTGCAGGTCTTAGCCATGCTAAAATATACTCAAATTTAATTAAGAAAACAAAACCAAAACATGAAAGATAGATAATCGTCCCATTGGGATTCAAAGGAATTAAAAGAAAGCCCATATCAAAAGATTTTATCCAATATGTATAGATGGAGATGGGTTGTCTATTTCGTTTGCCAAAATACTGAACGGGCTCAATCCCATAGGACTAATATTTCTTTTAACAAATCAATTTTCATAATAATTGTAATTTGAAAAGAGATTAAAAGTCCCTCAAGTGACGATCAGCCGCGTTAAAAACTAATGTCTAACATTATTATCAATGTCGTGCTGGTCCCTCAAATCTTTAAGAAACCCGCAACAAAAAGATAAAATTGCCATCGTAAAGCAATCGAATATAATACGTATACAATAAATCTTAAATAGACAGACAAAAAAACAACTGTGGACGATATATAATCAAATGACGCAAAGACACGGTTGAAGACGACAGCTAAATAATGTTGAATCGTCAAGAAAACGATTCATTTACAAAAAAATCCCACAAAACAACAGAGAGATTGATTGTGATTTTCTAAAAATTGACAAATTTCAGAAGAAAAAAACTAATCAGGGTTTTTTCTTACTTTCGTGACCATGGAGCTGATAGCTTTCTGAACAAACAAGAAAGCTCTCTGTATTAAACTACGTTTCTTATTACCAGGCCATTAACTTGTATTTAATTGACATTTTCGCTGTGGACGTAATACTAGAACAATTTTACGTGCCTAATCCTCGCAAGAGAACGCCTGGGGGACACATTAAGCGGTAAGTCATCTGTGATACTGGCTCCATTAAACGCTACAGTTAGGACCCTATTACCATAATATAACAATTCGCCAGCCGAGTTGACTCTTTTAAGTTCTTCGTAAAATAGCCAATATCTCAAGATTCTAACCTTTCACATTTTTGGATTTACTATCCAGTTACCTTTAGTGAAGCTTATTTGAACACATATTTTTGACTATTTCTAGATTCTATTAAAGCTTATTTGAACATATATTTTTGAATATCTCTAGATTTGATTAAATCTCGAGATTCTGTGAGTCTGGGTTAGTAAATAACAATAGATATTTGGTTTGAAAATTCCGTTATTAATTTGTTCTCTTCCGAAAGAAGATTTAGATTATATGAGTTTGGGTTTATGAATAGCAAGGTTTAGATTCCAATATGTTTAACCAGACAGGGAATTGATAAAAAAGAAAATACCAATAATTAAACAATCAGTGCACATAGCTTGTCAAACCTTCAAAGGCTAATATCTTCGCTCAGAATAAAGTAATTTTAATGAAATTTTCAATATATTCATTTTGTATTATCTATGTTTGAACGATCAGCTCTTTATCTAAATCTTATATAATGCTTCCTTAAATTATGAACAAGCTTAAAGATAGTGTATCACCTTTACAGGTCCTTTGCAATACGACCTTGATATATATATATATATATTGTTTACTGACAAAAACACACAGACATAATGGTTTAATGTATAAAGTGATGGAATACTTGTTTAATAGGCTAAAACGATATATCGTAGAAGAATGTCTAAATGTACATACCGTTGTTATTCGTTAATGTACAAAGAGTAACATCTCGTAAACATGTTTTCTTGTATGTCCAGTTTGGCATATCAGAGATCAATCACCCAAATTGCTTACTGCTAACGACTTCAAAAATACATTGACTTATAGAAACCCTACAAAGCACCTGCCAGGTTGTTACTAAGGTGTTTCTTAGACATAGCGTATAAAATCAACTGAAACCTTGGATGTTTCTTGGATATAGCGTATAAAATTAAGTGAAACGCTTAGATGTCCCTTGGACATAGCGTATAGAATGAACTGAAACGCTTAGATGTCCCTTGGATATAGCGTATAAAATTAACTGAAAAGCTTAGATGTCCTCTGGACATAGCGTATAAAATTAACTGAAACCCTTAGATGTTTCTTGGGCAGAGTATTAAATCCAATGAAATCCTTGGACACAAACTAGGCCATTCCGGGACTAACATTTTTTTTCATTCAATATTTCGCTTGCGAGTAAGGGTCTTTAGCAGTGGAACCAGAGATCCCGGAAAAAACCCATGGGGTTGGACAGGCGACTCTTCTCCTTGTCACGTACAAGCGGGGAATCGAAACCATGCCACTTACTCAATGACAGACCTTATGATTTAAAAAGCCGCTAGGGATTCAATTTCAATCTTTCAACTTCAAATTTGGTATCCGCCAAAAATACACTTTATTGAATCATAAAAATAGATGAAGACTTCTGAAATTGTCATTTTGCTTCTATTAGTAAAACAGAATTTGTCTGAACGACCTAAGACAATTCAATTTACAACGAATCTGGGATAACGGAATATGACACACAGAAGCTAAAATTGCCGCAGATCTGGGAGACTCGTTTACAGATTAGTTTCAAAATATTGACCGTTTTTAGTCTGAGTACAACGAAACCAAGACATTTAAGATAAAGCAATTAACGCTAATAATATTACAGAATACAAATAAAGGGAAACAAAACAAGTAGCTCGGTAAAAATCGTTCACGTACGTTAGATAGATCATCATGGATGTATTAAGATCCGTTAAAGTACTTAAATATACGTCACAAACAATGAGAGTTCCTGCTCCAAGAACAGGTTAATGAATTTCACACATGAAATATACATCTTTTGTAACTACAGAACTATAATTTGTGGTTGCATGGATCAATAGTAGAGAGCGAATAATGTCTTAGACTAAGTTCGTGCAGTACACTAATGATAGCGGTTTGATACAGATTAAATCCGCCCATCGTCATTTGCATTTGTTGGAAAATTTTCGCGGCTCATTGCACGCTAAAATATACTCAAACTGATTATTTAACATTCAATTATATAAATAAAAAAAAAGCAACGGCAGACAATCACTCGGCTAATTAATATAGTCTGCAGAAGACACCGAATGTTTGAAAATTTTCGAATCGTCAGATATAAATGCCGAACCTACATGAATATTTTTGGACTTACATTTTCTGTAGACATTCAATTTAAACATCCCTTAAATGACGAAGCGCGGCTTTAAAGGATTTATAAAATGTAGAATTGCATGACTTAAACGATTACGACGCCATTATTGTGTGAATTAGCGTCTTGAAAAGAAGTTTCATTTTCTCGATGAAGCAATTAATTATGTTTTCGTAGATTCCTGAGAACCTAATTTGCCTCCTGTAGCGTAGGAACTTACATTATCACTCTAATGTAATTACAACCACACGAACGCCTTTTATTTTCATTCTCGAACTGCATAAGTATAGCCAGTGCCGTTCGGGTTCACGCTGTGTCGATTATATACACCACAGAGAGAAATCTATTGCAACATAAGTAATCACTTCAATCTTTGCTAACCTGAAAACAAGTACGTCCATTCAATAAACAGAAGTGTTTATACTGATATGCAGATAGTTTAAATTAAGATGCAGGATTCGTGCTAAGAACAACAAAGATATCTATATATTTCTTGATAGTTGTGAACACCAGAAGTTTTGACACTACTAATATTTATGGGGCAGTGTGCCAAGTTCACAGTTCGCTGCTCCGAGGCAGTTAAAGTTATTTATTCCATGAATAAATTTTCTGTAACTTGTTGAAATATTCGTTCTAATCAGCGATAGAGATGTCTGCGCAGTTTGTTTGTTTTCTATTATTGTCTGCGCTGAAAAAAAAAAGAAATCGGTTAAGATAAAGAAATTTCTGACCAGACACACTTTCTGGCTACTTATGTTCCGATATAACAGTATTTCTTCCGGTATTTAATAGTTTCTGATTCCATCTGGCCATGTCTGTTTCACTTCAATAAAAAAAACACATTTGTCAAGAGTGAGAATGTAAGTATGTAGTAGCCTGTTGAAATCGGAAACGGGTGGAATAACAAATAGATAAAGAAATCGACAGTACTAATAACGACACGGAGAAGCATCTCTGCCATTTTTGTTGACCTACACGTTCCTTTTCCGGCATCTTAAAAATGCGTCTGCTTTGAGAGATGGCGTTCTGTACTAAAAGGGGAACCGGTACCGTAAGTATCAGATAATAAAGACCGCTTATGTAGATCTGAATTGTAGTAATGTTTTGATTTTTTCCTACTAATGCTGAAAGTAAAATGACATCCCTATTGATGTCTGGTTTGAGCTGCTACGGTCGGTATCCATAAATGATTAGCAATCTTTAACATAAATTGTTTATCCGCACACACAAATAAAGTTCTTTTTACCTTTCTGTCTGATTAATTAATCAATTATCACGATTTGGAAATGATATGTTGATAATCTTAGACGATGCTTTAATTGTTTTCTTTGGTCTATTTGAGCGATAAAATTATTAGGGATACAAGGAGCTCATTAAGACGGCCATTCTTTAAGGGCATTGACACAAGTGATATCATTTTCGCGTATCATATCAGTGTTCATTGGCATTATGTTCCAATACATCACGGCCTCCTTTATTCTGAATTTCCTCGTGGAATTACAATACAACCACTGTTTTAAAACCTTTCTGAACTCAGCGTTCAAAAGTCCGTACAGAAAGGGGTTGATGGCGGAGTTGGCCACCAGTATCCAGAAGGTGATAGTGATAAAAGTTTCTGGAAGACATTGAATACATCGAGAGTTGATCACTTCGGCCACCATATGCGGTGTCCAACATACTGTAAACACAATCACCATCATGCCCAGAGAGCAGGCCGCTTTTTTATCTTGTTTCACTAATAAATCGCGCACTAAGTCATCACTTTGCTTACGAACAACACTGTTTTTACCGATTATGCTACTCAGCGAACACTTTCTACTGATGGGCCTTTTGTTATTGTAGGGAATACCCGACATGGAGATATCAAACGAAACCCTCCGACTACTGGGGGTGGTTCGTGGATACTGCATCAGTATATTTTTACCGTTCATGCAATTAGTCAGTGAATGTCTCCGCGACGATTTGTATACATATGAGGTTCGTCTCCCATTCGACAGCTGTGGACACAGGTCAGAGTTTTCATCTGAGCCGTAATTGTTCCCTTCGGATTCCGAGGAGGATTTCCGATACCCTAAATACAAAGTGTCCGTGACACTCATAGATCGTCGAATTTTTATGCTTTTTCGTCGGCTAATTCTGAAATATATACTGCAGTTTAATATCCACAGGGCTATTAATGGACACAGGTATTCTACAACAGAAGTAACCAGGAGATAAAGGAAATTTTTTCGATATGGTGCATCACAAGGTTTCATCCCCAGTGATGACGAATTGTTTCTGTTCGATTCTTTTTGAACGTCGTTCCATATGACCATAGGTGGAATGTGGAGAGCGAAGCTAAGCACCCAGGATACGGTGACTGCACAAACAGCCAACCGCCGGCTTTGTCGAACTCTGTATGAAAATGGATAGTTTATGGACCACCATCGGTCCACACTGATTAATAAAATACTCAACAATGAAACGTAGAGTAAAGAATGTCTGGCAATCAGATGCAGTTGACACCAAGCCCCTTGTGGTGCCCACGGTGGCTTCACATTCTCCAACATAGACACAGGCATCGTGCATCCTATTAAAAAATCCGCCAGCGCCAAGCTAGCAATGTAAATGTTCCTACATCGTCGCAAGGATTTTGTCACAACGAACATAAGTAACACTGCTCCATTAGCCACTAGCGTCACAGAAGTCAAAAGCACAAGAGGTATCGTTTGCGCCCATGTTAAATAAAAACTCTTTCCAAATATATAATCCGAATAATCCTGCACAGGAAAGTTCGATGTATTTTCCATAGTATCTTTGATTAATAAATGTCCTAGTAAATTTCTAGGTCCAAAACTAAATTCCTTAATCATTGAAAACTAGAAATAAAAATAAAACTACTTGTGTAGTTTCTGCTACATAGTATGTGGTTCACGTGTGCTCTGCTCGTTCGTCTGTTTTCAACTTTGGAATACTGTTACTTATACACGATTCTACTAGTCTTCGATTTTCCTGTTGGCGAGAGAGCCACGCGCCACTCGATCCTAGCACGCGTAGAGACATTGGTTTAGTACAGCGTGTTTCCAATCGTTTGATGATGGCATGTCGTGTTTATTTCCAGGTATTCGTACATGTACGTAGTATATATACTAGATCACCTTCGTTCGGTTCTCACTGGCTGTTAATTAAAAGTCGTTTCGCGGGGGTTGGGGGCGATCAACGTGTGTTCGTTAGATCATAAGGTCTGTCATTGAGTCAAGAGGTGTGGTTTCGATTCCCCGCGTGTACGTGATAAGGAGTAGAGTCGCTTGTCTAATCCCGTGGGTTTTCTCCACCCTCCTCCGCGCAAGCGAATTATTGAACAAATTTAAATGAACCATATGTCAGACCCGAAACGATATAGTTTGTATCGAGTAGACATTATACCCCCCCCCCCTCTCTATCACTCGCTCTCTCTCTCTCCCTCTCTCCATGGGTAAAGCAATGGCTTTTTAACCAATAGGTCCCGTGTTCGATCTCAGCGTTGGCCGAGAAAGTTCATCGGGATTTTCCGACGTGGTTTCCCCTTGTCTATTCGTTCGTATGGGACTACAAATCTAGCCCCCGTGTATACATTGGTGTGCACGTAAAAGATTCCTTGGCAGTTGGAATTCGATATAAGAGAAGGCCATAGAGCCTCTGCACGGGCAAAATTCCCCTCATTGCACATTGTGTGGCGTATGCCCGTCTTCATTAACCCAGTTGGAGCAGAACAGTAGGACGTTAAACCCCATTTCTATTCATTTCATTTGTCTGGGAATCTTGAACGTGCTGCCAATAGTATTGGATGAACTAGAGTTATTAAGCTTTTTTCATTATACAAAACAAGATGTCATCTAGTTAAAATGGCCAATGACATCTAAAATGAAATGTGGTTTAACGATCTACGGTTTTGATCCGACTAGCATACGCCATGCAGTGTGTTATGAGGGAAATTTTGGCGCTACAGTCTACTTTTATATCGAATTTCAACTACCAAATTTTATTTACGTTCACCGCCAATGTGTATACGGGACCTCGTTTGTTTGTTTTTTGTCCCATCCAAACGACTATATGCTGCCCCTTGCTAGACTCTCCCTCTCTCTCTCTCTTCTGCATCACAGACAAGGGGGGGGGGGCGATGTACTTTCTCGGCCAACACCGGTATCCAACACGGGACTCCAGGTTAGCGAGACAACGTCTTAATTACAAAGCCCCGCGACTCACCCAATCGCATCATAACTGTACCAATAAATTTAAAATATAAAATACAACTAACAAGATAATACCGCGTCGGTTTCCAATATTGCTCAATTCTGTGTACAAATATGTCCACCAAAGGGAAGCATACTTCTGTGCCACACTATCTTGTGCCCATCCTGTTATTGCTATCAGACTGGTATTTATCGTGACCTCACCTCATTCATATCCTTTTTCACAAAGAATGTTTTCTATTCGGACAATTTATACGATGTTATTGGTGATATAATAATGTTTTCCCTCTATCGTCTGATTCAATAACTGTCATGGCTTCTAATAAAGGAAACTTCGCATCAGAAAATATTAAAAGACTCCCGATATAGAAGAGTAAACATAAAAGACGTTATTTTTAGTTGGTGGTTATGATAGGTTTTGCACACCGAGTCAGAGTTTACATACAAGTCAGAGTAGAGCACTGTAAACGCTGGAGTACAGTGCTACACAGTTTACACACAAGTAAGAGTACAGTACAAGTAAAAGAGCAATGCAGTACGGTTTACATACATTCCAGAGTACAGTACAAGTAAAAGTGCAATGCAGTACGGTTTACATAAATCCCAGAGTACAAGTAAATGTACAAGTACAATACAGTACGCTTTACATACATTCCAGAGTACAGTTCAAGTAAAAGTGCAATACAGTGCGGTTTACATACATTCCAGAGTACAGTAAAGTAAAAGTACAATACAGTGCGGTTTACATACATTCCAGAGTAAAAGTACAATACAGTGCAGTTTACATACATTCCAGAGTTCAGTACAAGTACAGTACAGTACGATTTACATACATCACAGAGTACAGTAAATGTAAAATACAGTACGGTTTAAATATAGTTTGTGTGCCAGTCAAGCTTACAATACAGTGTGTATGTAAGTCAAGAGTACAACATCGTGTGTATACAAGTACAGCACAGTTTGTATACAAGAACAGTACAGTACAGTTTGTATACAAGTCAGACTGACAAGAGTACAATACAAGTCAGAACACACTACAGTTGTACACGTCAGAGAGACAGAGAGAGAGAGAGAAATGGGATTTAACGTCCACTCGACACAAACTAGGTCATTTCGGGACTAACATATGGGTTTTTTTTTTATTTTATTTCAATAATTCGCTTGCGCGTAGGTGTCTTTAGCAGTGGGAGGAAACTGGAGGACCCGGAGAAAACCCACGAGGTTGGACAAGCGACCCTACTCCTTGTCACGTACAACCGCCAGTTGACTTAATGACAGGCCTTATGATACGGCGCACACGTGCTATCTATTCGGCCATCCAACCCCATACACGTCAGAGTATGGTACAAATTGCACAGGGCACAGGATTTTTGTTGATTATCAAGTCATGAAGTTGCTTATTCCCCTGACTTAGGTAAACTCGGTTGGTTGATTTCGCTTTGATTCTTGAATACATTTGATTTTGAAGAATTTTGTTGGGGATTCCTATTGCTTTGGGTTTGTTAGGTGGTGGTAAAGGGAGGGGGAACGGTACTACCTTCACTTCCGTTTATATACAAAATCATATGTTTACATTAGAGTTGACTTGGTGCAGCTCGAGTCACGAGAATGTGTTGAATCATCGATATTTTTTCTTTTTTATATGTTCATTACAATCGAAACCTCAAAGAGAACACGCTCTTTTGTAGACCAATGTAACCTTATTTAATAACGGTTACATTCTGTTAATAGCTAATTGACTCGAGCAAACTTTGGCCTGTGAAGTTCAGAATAGCGATGATTGATGAATCGTGCCATATAGAAGACAACAGTCCAGTGTTTAATTATTAATTAATGTTAACGATACTAATCTTAATCGATATGTGAGGACCTTAAAGGGTGCTGACCTACCAACGTTTCTCTCATTTATTTATAACATATATTATATCATTCAAATCGGTTTGATGGGTTATATGGATTTCGAAAACAGAGCAGTGATCAATACTGATTTTTCCCAAACAGAAGCATCGATTGGTATCATCACAAATACCCATCACTAATGTCTATCAAATGAAAAATGGGGTTTAACGTCCTATTTTCCAGTTACCCCAACACGGATAATGAAGACGTGTTGGGGGGGGGGGGCGCTATCAATGGCCAGTATGATTCCACGGTTCAGAACGAGTAAGCACAGCATGCCTTTGGATTCAGACCCATCAAAAGATTTTATCCAACGCTTATAGGTGGCACTGGCTTGTTCTTATCTTCTGCCTAATTTTCAATTCATTCTATCTTTGTAAATACAGAACAGAACATGAACCATTTTTGAGATTCAACTGTCTCAGTATTGTGGTTTGCATGGATTTTAAGAACTCTTCTAATGACAGCGAGCAACTTTAAATTATGTACAAGATATTTCTTAAATTCTTGAGAAAATTTAAATCTAACCTTTTAATAGCTTTTGGGTGGAAACGTATTCTTTTTAAAAACAGGTATGATATAAAACCTTAATTATGTGGAACATATTTTAGAGTTTTACATACCAGGGATATATATATATAATATAATGACTATATTTTGTAGGTAGTAACGTGTGTATATATAATACATCAAACCATCCACCATTATTACTAAAAGGTGTTAAAGGAATGTGACCTGTTGATATGTTTATCGGCATAACTTTTATACCAACGGCACAAAAATTCCTGCACTTTATCAGTGAAGGGTCAATAAAGCGTATCAAATACACCGTTTCTCGCTAGTCATGTAGATTCCATCTATACTGCTGAATACTACGAATGATTGACAGCAACACGCCTGTACACTTGTAGATTAAAAACTGTTCTCTTTTACCCGGTATTTTTCTGAAATTGTACACGTGCATGCATCATTGCCACTGTTTGTAGGCATGTTCGACTTGGGTTACATTTATTTATTTGCAGATGTATTCTAAAAATGTATTTCGTTTAAATAAGACAAACCTGTGGATAGGATAGAATTTACACAGACATATTAAACCAGAGAGAGAGGGGTGGGGTAAACGTCCAATCGACTGAAGGTGTGTCTTTTCGGAACTATATATAACATACGGTTCAATTTTATTTTCTATAATTCGCTTTCGCGTAGAGGTCTTTAGCAGTGGGTGGAAACCGGAAACCCAGAGAAAACGCACAGGAGACATTACCCATTCGGGAGACCGAATCGAACCTCCCTACCCCCCCCCCCCCAACGATAAAGACATGTATTAAATCAAGTGAATCGCGACTGTAGTAATACAGGCTTCACTCAGAAAAGAAAACAAAATAACGGTACGAACAGCCCATCGAGACAAAACCTGCAAACCATTATTATTGCTTTTTTAAAGTGACAATATTAACAGTTTATCAATGTCAGTCGACATAATTTATCATCATTAATCAGCTTATCACATTAACTGTTAAATATACATCTCAAGTTTTAATCATAATTGTTTAAAAGCCACGGTACTTTTTATCACATTAGCTGTTAAATATTCAATCTCAATATTCAATCATAATTGTTTAAAAGCCACGGTACTTGTTATTTTGTACACTGATAATATTATTGCCACTTTCACAACCTGAATGTAACATTTTAGGTTTATGAAAGAACGTCTACAAAA